ATGATAAGAAATAATGAAGTACTTCCAGCAAACTTTATATAACCCCTGTCAATATTCTTTCACTCTGTTTTCTATCTCACCGGTTTATAAACTGAACAATAGGACAAAACAGAATAGAGTAGGAAAACAAACAAACAAAACCCGGGTACTTCTGCATAATTATTTCTTCTTCACGCTTGAATGCTTTTCTTTCAATAGAAGAAAACTGATTCCATTCACATAACACATGATCCCTGATTTCCTGAAGTTTCATTTCTCTTTTAGAAATGTTTCACTTCCCACCTGGCATAGATCATAATAATCAAAATCAAAATAAGGTAATTTAGATCCATCATTCAGAATCTTATTGTTATTATTATTAGCTGAATTACCACCATAAATGGTATTCTGATTGTTCTAAATTTTCTTAGTTTTGCATAGAGTTGTTTAAATACTTGTTGCTATGGTTACCTCATTTAAGGCTTTTATTTAAAAAATAAAAAAGAATGTAGGTTATTAAGTGAACTTAATTATTTTCATTTATTCTTATAAGAAAAATCTTAAATCAAAATGAAAGAAATTATAAAAAGGAGATAGAGGAAGAAATGTACATAACACTAGAGAAAGTACTTTACATTTTCTTAAAGGATTTTTGCTAAGTTATACACTACTCACAAAAGTGTAATGAGTAGTTAAACAAAATTTGTCGTAGTTTTCAAGAAAACTTACGTATTTTCCCAGATATGACCACTCACGTTTACTGTTGAAGAGTCCCAAACTGCAATGAAATCGATGTCTAGTATCTCACAGTTTCTGAGTGATACTAATTTGAGATCAATTGAGCCCCTAGAAACTAAAAAACACTCAAGGAAAATGAGGTTAAGTGATATGAATGCGTATTAATCGTTGTACACATTTAACACCGTGTATAGGGATAGAAGGAAACCATTCATACTGTTCTAGTTCTGATGGGTTCAGTACAGAAAGGTTGATTATATGTAAAATAAAAAAACAGTTTTTGAGCAGTGAAATATTTCATGAAGAATATCATACAACTAAATAAACATCGGCTTTAAAATATCTCAGCTGGTTTATTCAAAGTACAAAATCTTAAACTGTAAGGTATCACCGGCATTTTGTTTTCATTCCGGTTAGAATTAGTATACTTTGAAACATTTCAATCTCTGGTTCATTCCTTAATACCTGCTCGAAAACTTGATAGATGGTTGAAGGCAATCCACAGGAAGCCTGATTCGACCTAGGTCTCGTGGTTGTTGGCACTCATCAGCAAGGTGTATCTGCAATCGTGAATCAAGTCATGTTCCTCCTGAGATTCGAACCCGTATCACCCAGTGTTTCAGTTCCATAATTCAGTTTGCAGCAAACAAAGGACTAGATGCATGATTCTAGTTAATAACTAGTGTCCAATGCAGGAATGCAATTTATCCACGACAAGGAAACGGTCCAAAGACTAAAATTGTTCAGCATCGAATATGGAGCTACTAATAATATTATTATGTTAACTTACATCCCTAAAACATCTTTGTAGAACTTTTGTTTTCATTATATATTTTTGGTATTATAATCATACAAAATTTTTGGTTGCATTTCATCTTCAAAAAGTATCTTATAGAATGTTTTGAGATCAGTAGAACTTTTGCTTATATACTTTCCCGTTCATTTCATCTACGTGCTTTATAAATCCGCATAAAATAAGACGGCTGGAATATATTTCACGCATAGTAAGCTACTTGAAGTCAATTGGTGGAGACTGACTATTTCCTTTTCTCAACCATGCTGTATAGTGTTCTTGAATCCTCTTGGACAGGATGCGCGTCGAACGACCTATATACCTGGCTCCACAGCAGTAGGTGAACTGATATATGCATATAGAAGTGGTCAAATGCGAGATCTTGTCCTTATGGCTTCTGCAGATCAGTGGGCTACTGGAGAACACTATTCTTGGCTTTACTGCAAAGAATGTTCTTTTCAGAGATGATGTGATCCTTGTTCTGAGAATATCGCTTACTAAATCTCCCTTGAAATCCAAGTTCATGTAGTGAAGTTTCATTCCTCCAAATTTTTGTAGAAAGTCTTAAGATCAGATGGACTTTTGCTTCTATACTTTCCCGTTAAGTTCATCTACTTGCATAAAATGAGATGGCCGGAATATATTTCATATATACTAAGCTACTTGAAGTCAACTGGTGGAGACTGACTAACAGTGGAATACACAATATGCACGCTTCGTCTCATTCGGCACTTATCATGTACATGTACACCTGCATTTTCCAATGAGTGATGGTGTCCCCACCGAGGATCGAACCCAGTGCCCGTAGCTACAAACGCCAAAGTATTATCCAGCAGACCACTTGGACCACGAGAGCCACCTCTTGTCCAATGGGTCTTATTAATTCTATAATTCAATATGATTTCCCCGTCGATTGACTGGACCTAAGTGTTCAGTGAGAACACCATCACTCACTGGGGAGAGCAGGTACATCCAGATGATGAGTTCCAAATAGGACGAAATCCGTGTTATCCTGGATTCCACTGCTAGTCACCATCCACCAGCTGACTTCAAGTTGCATGATCAGACATCATCAAAGCATCTTCACAAGGAGTCGACATGTTAACCTGAGACCGAGCGTTTCTGTCCAATCTAAACTCACTTAAATACTAAGCTTATTACATAAACTGAAAGGCATTTATTCTTTAGTATCTGCAAAATGTTTTCATCAGTCTATACTTATCTATCTTTTCATATGATATTTGTTTTGTCTTTATCTTATTTTCTTCGTATTTTATCTTTGTTTAAATTTTCCCTCTAGGCTGTCTTAAAATAGTGTGACAGTGACCTGTTTACTGAATATTAAGTAATCTACTGCTTTTTGTTTTCCCTTTTCTTGGGTGTGAACATCCAACCAAACTGAACTGTGGTATAAATATATTTTTTCATTATCCAGCTAAGTCTGTATACCTAAGGGTTAAGTAAGGTCAATGAATGTTGCTCACTCTGTAGGGCAGATATCTGAAGAAAACAACTGAGATGTGTTATTGTATGTATTGCTTATAATTTAAAGTATGTAAACAATAAATAGAAGTTTTTAAGTGTATTATAAAATTTTATATAAGGAGAAAAAACTTATTTTCAAGAGTTACCTTGTATGGATTTGATTTGTTTCAAGCTTCACTAGTGACTGATTACACACCACGAAGTTGCCTGGAGTGCTAGTGAGAAGTCGTCAGCAGTGGGGTCCAGCCGGTTGGGAGTGAGGATAAATACTCACCAATGACATTGATTGGTGGTCCTGTTGAAATCATGAATTGGCACGGGTTGGAATTCACGAACTGGTTATTGAGTCAGGCTCTAATGCCTGAATAGTCTACGAGTTTGCCTTGTAACCAGAGGGTCCTGGGTTCGAACCCTGGCGATGAGTGCTTACTGGTGAAGAGTCGCAAATTAGGTGGACGGAACAGCTTTCCAGTATCGCCTACTGGTTTTCTATGGTTCTCTAACTGACATCAATCCGTGATCAAATTTGAAAATAAAAGTTAATTAGAAACGAACGAAATAGTTTTTCAGTTTGAAGGAGGCGTTTGTTGAGATGGAATGATCATTGTCAACCAAGTGTTCAATTATCTCACTCCTTATAGCAACACTCTATTTCCTTTTGGCAACCATGCTGGATAGTGTTCTTGAATCCTGTTGGACAGGATACACGTCAAACGAACGATGTGCCTGGCTTCACAGCAGCGGGTGAACTCATATATATGCACATAGAAGTGGTCAGATGCGAGATATTGTCCTTATGGCTTCTTCAGATCAGTGAAGGACTGGAGAACACTATTCTTAGCTTTGCTGCATAGAATGTTCTTCTCAGAGATGATGTGATCCTTGTTCTGAGAATATTGCTTGCTAAATCTCCCTTGAAATCCAAGTTCATGTAGAGTTTCTTTTTCAGCGCAAGTGAAGTTTCATTCCTCCAAATTCTTGGTTTGTTATTTTGATCAATGAATCTTGGTTAATATTCCGCTGCAGTTCGGGGATATGTGATCTGATAGAATTGACACAATTCACTGCGTGAAACTAAACATTGTCTTCGATAACTATGATTATTATTTCACATTCCACACTCTCGATAAATCGACCTTACTTGTATCATGACTTTGAAGAACAAGAATTCATAAGTTTATTTTAATTGGATAATAGTTAGTAACTAGTGTAAAGTGTGTAGTCCTTTGTTTAGTGAAGAGTGAATTCTGCGATTAGCCATTTTTGAATCGATGCGTCGGTGGCACAGTGGTTCGGACTCTCGCCGACCATGTACATGGTCTGGGGTTCGATCCACTGTCGACACACACCTGATATCAGTGGTCGGCCTGCTAAATTTGGGCTACTGATATCACATGCTCAGAATTCCATACTTGTTTTTACGAGTTGATCACGGATTGTTATCCAAAAATATTGAGTGGTTTCAAGTTATAATCAAAAATTTAAAAAATATCTCCACCATGCCACTAGACGGCTCGCCAACACTGTGCACTGTAAATTGTTGTTATTAAGGTGGTTGGAAGTAATCGGCGGGAAGCCCTGCTTGACCTAGGTTTCGTGCTTGTTGGCCCTCACCAGTCAGCAAGACGGGTCGGCAATCTTGAAGGGGCTCTTGATGAGGAGTGCCAACAGACATGAAACCTAGGTCAGATGAGGTTTCCTGCCGATTGTCTCCAGCCATCCAATAACAACAAGCCACGGATTTTTCTGGATAAATCTTATCAATAACTGGAGAGTTGGTTGGGTTTACGAAACGTCCGGCGTAGAAATGGCTAATATTTTCTTAGGGTAATCTTTCTGTGAGTTACACTAAGCAATCAAGCAAAAGGCGTTTTCTCTGTATGCTACAGGAAGCGATGAAGGTATAGAAATCTAGTCAAAATTCAATGTTTTGTTGAACATTTTTGATAATACATAAAAATATTTTTTTAAATAATTTGTACACCAAAAATCACTTACATTTCAGATTCATGCTAATTGTCGACTACGTCGAGTATATTTTTGTGATCGTATCTATTCAGAAGATGAATTACCCAAAGACTATAAACTCTATCTTCCTATACATCCTACATCGGCTAGACGGACTCCTCCTCTACGTCCCTCGTCAAATAATCGTCAACGTTTGACAAATTCACGCAGTACAACTTCATTAAATCGTTGAACAACGTGAAGAGAGAAATATACTTTTTGCTTCATCTATTTACATACAGATTAAAATGTGTATTCTATTCATTAAGCTTTGCTCATAATAATAATAACATCAATAAGATGGCATGTTTTCTTTTTTGTTGACAACAAAAGTAACAATGACAATAATAATAATTCGAATGCAGATGGATGACCTACTTATTTGATATTTTTTATTTCTATTTAATGTTATTTGTTTTTTTCTTTTGTCTTCTCACTTTATATACATATACATATACACTTTCACAATTTCATCTCAAGAGTATGTTGTTTTGTAGTTCAATGCATTTAAAATTGATCATGTTTTTGTTTCATTAAAACAAAAATATCGCACATTGTTATTCAAACATTTTGATTGATATATATCTATACTATACTATAATTATTTTTCTAATTAAATCTAGTTTATACACACATATATGCATAAACTCTTGTTATTCTGAACAAAAATAATAGTACTAAATATGTAGTTAATTATTAATAATATAAAACAAAAAATTGTTTGGAAGAAAATTGAGTAAAGAACATCCTTTTCGATAATTTCCTCTTCTGGTTCTACGATTATATACATATTTTTATATACACAGAATATTCTGGAATAGTCGTCAATAGCAACATTGGTGTTTTTCAAATAATATCAATTTGTTAAGTAAGATCAATATACTTACAGTTCGCTAAAGATGCATACATTATAATATTATTATTATTTCCTTGGGTTCCGAGTGGAGCATGTAGCTTCAACAAAACATCTACACTTTGTTCTGTTTTCCGCTATCCTCTTCATCTGGATTCACGATTGACTATGATCTCTCATCTCCTCTTCGCATGATCTCCTCCATGTCACTGTTGCACTGACGACCCACTCGTCGCTTCCCATTCGGATTCCACTCGAGTGATAAGCTGGCGCGCGTATGTCCAATCCATCTCCATTTTCTCTTACATATTTGTTGAGCGATCAACTCTTGGTTGGTTTATTCCCAGGCAGAGTTTCTTGTTGCTAATTATTTCTGGCCAGCCAACTGATCTTCCATATGGAGACAGCGAAGGGGGCAGCTGTTTATAAAAGTCTGTGACATGATGGAAATCCTTTGCGTGACGCGCTTGTCAAATTCCTGACACATAAAGAAGAACTGACCGACTTGACATTGGTGTTGAAAATGCAAATCTTGTTCCTTATGCTGAGTGCAGAAGATTTCTAAACTGGTTTCAGGTTGATGAAGGCGTATCTTGCCTTTCTGATTCTGGCTTTGAGAGCTTCATCTGTTCCGGCTGCTTGTGGTTGAAACGATATTTCCTAGATAAGTGAAGGAATTGACCTCTGTTAAATCTCTCCCTTTGATAGTGATTGGTGCTGGTTGTTGTTGCTGCTGCTGTTGGTTGACTGGTTATCTTCATCACCTATGTCTTCTCTGTGTTCACCTGGAGTCCTGTCTTCACTTCCAGCCTCTTCAGCCAGTTTGTCGCTTTTCGCCTGCAAGTCTTTGAGTTTGTGTGACATCCACGCGAAATCCAGATCTTCTAGAGTCATCTTATCGGTGGTTAAGTGTATTCCTATCTCCTCGCTCCCAACGCACAGTCTGACGCATAATCCAGTCCACCACAATTCAGAATATCATCTGTGATAGTAGGCAGCCTTGTCTTACTCCTGTATGCACTTCGAATGCCTCGCTGAGTTTTCCGTTGCTGATCACCTGACAAGTGTCACTGTCGTATGGCCAGCTGTTGAGTGAGGTTGATAAAGACTTGGGCACTGCACGCTGTAGTGTTGAAGTAGTTTCCAAATTACTTCTCGATCAACGCTGTCTGTCGAAAGCCTTTTTGAAGTCGTTGCAGTTGAGGTAGAGGTTTGACTGCCATTCTATAAATTGTAATAAGCATACAAATATAATAGCAAATAGAATATCAACTGAAATTAAGGAAATTTCCTTAACAAATTAAGGATCATTAAAACTTTGTTGACCAAGGTAAGGACTGTGTGTGAACCAACTTCTTTTATATACATAAGTTAGGTTTCTTATTGTAGATCCCAACAGCCGTAGCAATATGTAGTAGATGAACTCTTAAGGTGAAGTTAAGTTAGTCGGTATGCTGTAGATGAATTTGAAAGCTGCCCCGTTAACATCAATCTTATGTTCTGTATCCACGAGATGAGATAGAATAGAGCTTTAATTGGATTTTGTTTATCCTTTACTTAACCACACAGAGTTATGTTGGGAAATTTGACGAGAAACACGACTAATTGTACGGCCTATGTAACTAGCTCCATAGGAGCAATTATTCTAGAATATTCTCTGTATATAAGCGTATATATGCATATTGGAGAGCTAGAAGAGGAAATTATCGAAAAGGATATTCTTTGTACAATTCCTTTTGTTTTTTCTATATGTCTGAATGAATATTTTTGCTCTATTATTAATATTACTGATAAATGAAAATCGGAATTATTGGAAAGGCAGCTTAAAGAAAAGTATATTATGTTACTGAAACAAAAGATTGTAATAACTCTGTAGTGATTTTTAAGAGTCATTTTGTAGGGATTTAATTTGTTTCAAATTTGACGGGGATTAATGTCAGTTAGAGAACCATTAAAAACCACCAGGGAGTACTGGGTAGCTGTTTTGCCAGCCTAGTTTGAAACTCATCATCACCAGTACGCACCCACCTGATGGCAATTGAATCCAGGACCTCCTGGTTACAATGAAAGCCAATGGGAATCGATCCAATAACCAAATAATTCTATCCTCTACCACTTCGTGATTTTAGCAGGACCATCAACCAAAGTCATCGGCGATTATTTGTCCTCACCCACGATCTAGTGGACCACACTGATCATGAATTCGCACTAGCACTCCAGGCAAATACGTCGTGTTAGCAGGGGTTTGATCTGTTTCAACATTGACTACGGATCGTTATAAGTTAGAAAACCACTGAAAACCAGGAAAAACAGGACAGCCGTTTCGTCCTAGTTTGGGACTCATCGGCTAAGATTTCAGTGCTAGGTGATGCAGGACAGAAACTCTGAGAGGAAATCAATTCCTGTAAGGATTTAGATACCACCTGGGAACGAGTGCCAATAAGTAAGAGACCCAACTCCGTCTCTCGCTACTGAATATTTCTAACCATCCAACATTGTTAGATTAACAAACGTTGTCATGTGAGAGGTATTTGACAAATATTACTGTATAACACTGTGAGACTCTATCAAAATAAAATTTACCCATAATGGAGGTATTTGACAAGTTAAAATTAAGAGCTGACTATAAGGAAACAACAATTTTCTCAAGATTATGTACACAAATACGCTGCTTTTATATGTTTTTCTTGTGCGTCTGTGGCACAGTGGTAGAATGCTTCCCAACCACCCAGCATGTGGTTCGGGTTTCGATCCCTAGCAGACGCACTGCTTTACCTCATTAACCCAGTAATAAGACTGGTAAAGAAGGGAGGTTGGGTGTGTGGTTAGCAACCCCACCCCGTAAAAATAAAACCACTGTTACTGAAATTTCAAAGCTCTAGCTTGAAGCTAATCTGTGTTCCACTGGGAACGTAAAGGATTAAAAAAATCTGTATTTCTCGGCTGTTTTTCCCCTCATTTATCTCATCTGTGCCAGTAACAACCTGTGTAAAATACACGTTCTTACTGATTAGGCTTTTGTTTCAGTTTTTTATTGACTTTCTAACAATTCGTAGGTATAATCCATTTCTGGATTGGTGAATCGTAGCCAAGAAGTACCTTAGAAATGTAGTCTGTCTGACTTCACTATATAGTGGAGTAGGTCCAAAGTTTTCGGAATGACATGAGAATTTCTCAAAGTTCCAAACCTTCATTACGAATGAATGTTGGCGAGCACTTCTTTCATCCAATGTTATTTCAGAACCCTTAAAATTCATCCAGGAAAGTTTCTTAGTAGTTGACGAATGTATCATCATTCAAGGTATGTAGATGATACGTTTGTTGTATGTGATCATACGCATCATGCAGAACTACTGCTACGAAAGCTCAGTAATGCCCTATTCAAATATCAAGTTCACGATGGAGCAGGAAATCAATAATCAACTACATTTTCTTGACCTATTAATGAAGAGAAGAGAAGACGGAACAACAGAGAGGAGCCTTTACCACAAAACAACCTGGAGTGGTTAATACTTAAACTTCAACGGCTTCTGTCCCATTTGGTCAGAACACTAGACCAGAGAGCGGAAAAGCTTTGCTCCAAAGAAACGTTAGAAAACGAAATCAGTCTCATCAGGGAATGCTTAATGAACATTGGATATCTAAAAATTTTGATAGACAGATGAGGAAGGCAGAGTATAGTAGTGTCAAGAAGAAGCCAGCGTTTCTTAAATTAGGATTCAAAGGTGATGGATGAAATTGGAGAAAGAATTACCATTTGTATAAAAGATGCAATATCACCGAAGTATCCAGTCGCCAAACTGGTCTTCCTGTACAGACAAACCGATCAGTTACGCAATCCAAAGAAGACCAATTTTCGGCTCTCATTAAATCCAAATATGTTTTTGAACTCATATATCTACAAGTGGTAGCAAGTACGTTGGAAGAAATGAGGGACAGTTATCTACAAACACTGCTGAACACGTGTCCAAAAGCCTACCCCTTAGAGGTTCAATAGATTTTAACAGAGCCATAGTCCAACACTTAGCTGATACAGGCCACCAAGTCAACCTATTAGAATCCTTTAAAGTATTGAACAGGCAAAGCACTTCAAGACTACTACGAACCGCTGAAGCTGTGACCATTCCGAGAATGAAACCTGTATTATGCATGCAAAACGAGACTATCCCTAACTTATTACTGCCCTGGCAAGCACTGGCTCTCTCAATTTCACCTGATGAAACTTTATTTCATTTTGTGTGCGTCATAATAATAATAATTGATAATTGCATTCATCTGTCGCCCTACTTGGTATTTTTTGTGTCCTTGACCTTTTTCATATCATTTGAATAGCTTTCAACGTGTTTATGTAGTTATATCCTCTTTCGCTTTAATTACCCTAAAATTCCAGAACATTCCACTAGGAACAATATATAATTTCTCTATTCTGGTTATAATTTACAATTCTAACTTCTCGTATCCATTCCACTCTGTCTCCACATTCAGTAATAATAATAATAATAGTATATTCTCATTTTTTACATGAGGGACGTCAGTTTACAGGCATCATCAATATGATAAATTACATATACGATTAGTAAGCATATTTAATAATAGTAATTTAATAAAATACATTTTTTCCTACCTGTGTAGGACACACCAATTGTACAGGCATGGATAAGTATTATTTAAATTACATAAATTTGGTTCATGGTAAAATTATCAGGTTGCAGTCATTTTGTCTATGGGAACAATATGATAACTAGTCATTCAATGGAGCACATCAAGAAATATAGAAATATTGTCTTCGCATTAACAAAAAAACCCAAGTATG